TTTTTTCTGTGTTCACATTCCAAGTGCCATAAAAGTCACCAAGTTGTGATTTTTAAAAATTCAAAACGTAAACTTCTCCGGTCAGAAATGACCGAAGACCGCAGAAGGGTCTATCGCATTGTATCATGCAATAAAGACATTAAAAATTATTATCTTTATACTGAGATAAAGCTGCTAAACACATGTAATTACTGCATCTTTTCCAGGTTTTTGTATTTGATGTTGGGAAAAAGACTTGGAAGTTTTATGACTGGACCAAAGTGACAACGGTTGCAGCTTTTGGAGAATATGATGCTGAGCTCATGTGTTACGCTCACTCTAAAGGAGCTCGTGTGGTCCTGAAAGGTAGGGTTCGACTGAACATATAGCAAACTTTTCACTTTTTTATAAGCATGATGTAGCCTATATTTCAAATCAAACAAGATTTTTACATTTTCTCAACAACCTGTGTGGCGCTTCCCCTTGCAAAATCCACCACCATGATGCTAGAATATTGTGGGTTATTGCCAGGGCATTTCTATTTAGTTTCTTAGGGTGTTTCTAGGGTGTTCTGTCTCTCCTTCAATGTAATAATAATAATAATGTCCCACCTATTTTCAACAAGCTGGCAATTGTATGTGGCAAAATCTAAAACTTAAGATTAGGGTTTCTTCAGATCACCAAGTATGAACAGTAGTAATAGTGACTATCAGTGTCAGTGATCAAATTGACATTGTTTTAGTCAGTCACACTGTTGTGTGTGATGGTGATGGATACAATGTTTTTCACAGGAGATGTGCCACTCTCATATATTGTGGATCCAGTAAATAGGACAGCTTGGATTCAGGAAAAAGTCCAGTTGGCAAAGAGTCGGTTCATGGATGGGATAAACATCGACGTTGAGCAGGCAGTGGAGACCGGATCCCCTGAATACTATGCTTTGACAGCCCTTGTCAAGGAAACCACTGAAAGTTTCCACACAGAGATCCCAGGCTCTCAGGTAAAACGGCATATCACTGGAAACTGTGTGGTATAGCTACTTTAAAAGCCCTTGACGTACTGTCTTCTTATCTTGAATCACAGGTATCATTTGATGTGGCTTGGTCGCCCAAATGCATTGATAAGCGTTGCTATGACTACCTTGCCATTGCAGATTCATGCGATCTCTTGTTTGTTATGTCCTATGATGAGCAAAGCCAGATCTGGGGTGATTGTATTGCCATGGCAAATGCCCCGTTCAATCAGACATTGACAGGTAAGTGATTTCTTGAAAAAATAAAATAAAAACTTAAGAGCTTTTGTTATTGAACCCTGCTTTTGTACGGGTGTTCTACATAGTTTGTCCTTTGCCACAAATGTCAAATCTGACATGTCTTCCTTGATGACATTTCCAAAATATCCCTTCCCTGTATGCCGTCATCACCGCATATTTATATAACTTTTGAACCCCACTCTTTGGATTATGTTAACTGAACAACAGTTGGTTAGACCATAACATTATTAATAATGCCTGTTTTCATGTTACAAACCATTGTATAATAATGCACACCTAAGGTTTAGACATGTTTTTCAGCCTATGATCAATACATCAGCATGAACATAGAGCCAAAGAAACTTGTGATGGGTGTTCCATGGTATGGTTATGACTACAGCTGCCTTAATTTCACAAAGGTAAACCATTTATTTTCAGTATTTTCAGTACTTAATTTAAAATGACATGCAGCACTAGAGTTGTCTGATATGGAAGAAAATCTGATATGCAGTGCAATAAACTAATTAAAGGGGTCATATGATGCGATTTCAAGTTTTCCTTT